AAATTGAAAAACTTTACAAAAATTTGATTTCTAGGAGGAGCCAGCGAGCGAGATGCGCCCAGTCGTTCGCGAGACGTTCCGTGTCGGCCTTCAGATGTCACACCAAGACCTGATTGACCTCAATTCGCAGGTGGGGGATTACGGCTACGAATCTTTGCGACGCTTTCTTCGCGCATTCTTATCGTCAGTGTTTTTTCAGATGGTAAACCGGCACTGCCTGTTCCGACCCGTTTTCATGCTCCACAAAGTCTCCCAGGTCGACGAGGAGCTCAAGCGCCAGAAGAGGGGTATGGTTTTGCTTTAAACTATTAGCGAATCCATTCATACCTGAATTCTCTTACATCGCTTAGCTCTCAATGACATCTCCAGCACCAGGCAGACCCTACCCTGCATCTGCTGGGGTTAGACAGCTCGCTTCGAAACACTCCAAACCACGTTCAAGCTCAAATAGGGGAGCATGTGGAGTAAATACCCAATACCCTTTCAAACAAGCTTGCCACGCTTTCTAATTTTTTAAATATCAGAAAAAGCCCGAATTACAACAGCAAGTTCTGGCTTCTACCGGGGGTCCCAAAAAACCACTCCCCCCTAACCCGACCTAGAAGTATCGGATCGGAACGATAGTTGCACCATTCGAAAGTCCTTGAAACGGCGTGTTTTCAACTATCTTCGAAATCATGCTTTTATTCACTGCGCGATCTTACAAGCTTTTTTAAAACTTTCGGCTTTTGAGGTTGAATACGAGCTGAATTGCGTCAATTTCTCCAAGCAAAATGATCGGAAGTAACCGTTAACCAGAGAGGCCGCTTCTTGATGTTTCTAAATTCCTGTAAAATAGCGCGTTTAAACAAAAACATAGTTATGAGGATTGTTGCAAACAGGCCGTTTCAAGGGCTTTCGAATGGTGTAACTACCATTCGGATCCGATACTTCTGCCTCGAGTTAGAGGGGGGGGTGATGTTTTTTTATTGTGCCGTCTGGATTTTCTTTACAAAATCGAGACCACGATTTTACAGAAGTTCCCGCCGAGGACGACGTCACATTCGCGGTGATGGCCGGCGAAAAGGTCGAGGTCGACCATATCATGTTCTAAAAGCCAAAAACCCGCCCGAAATCGTTTCGCCCTGTCGAAATATTTGTAAATTTGTCTCCTCCTCATTTCTGTCGCCCAATTTCTACCGTATCCCCCACCCCACTACACCTCTTTCCTGAACTCAAAAAAATACCTACAACAGCACCGTATTCTGGCCCCTGAGGCTCCCTCCGCACCGCGTCAATAGGCGCCCCCCGTAGTCACTACGTGATTTTTCCTATTCTTGGTATATTTTTGAATTTTAAAGGGATAGTAACAGCCTAAAAATTACAATAAGAATTTTTGAAAATTTCACGGCGCTATTTTCGATTTTTTCAATTTCTTTGCCGCTTCCGTCTTTCCCCTACCATTTTCCCGCTCGAAAATCGGCCAGCACTTTATCGTGGTGTTGTGGTGAATAAAAACATTTTAAAATACGCGTTTACAAGTTACATTAATTGTTAGTTGGCTTTAACTTTACAACTTTACAAAAAATTTGCCTTAAAAATTGGAAAATCACATATTTGAATTCGGATACGGTAGCAGGAGCGCAAAAAATCATCCGAGCATGCCATCGTAATTTGGCGGGTTATTTGGGGTAAATCCCGGGGTACACGTGTCGAAATTGAAGTTGAAGGAGGTCTCGCGTTCCTGTAAAACATTGATTTTTGGCTGTAAACTGAAAATGCTAATTTTCCGCGTAAGTAAAGTGCTTTAACGACTGTAGATACAAAGCGGTACCGTAAAGTAGCGCTACGTAACTTTCTAGCGTAATTGCCGTACAGTACTGTAGGTTACGGAACGTAAGGTTTTAACGTAAGTACAGTATCGTAGCGGAAGTAAGAAGTGCAGTAAGGCACCTTTGACAGTAAAGATCGTACGCAGATGTACTCTAGACATACTAATAGGTAATTTTTAGTTTTTGGATTTTGTAGTCAATAGAGGCCTCAAATATGGGCCAAGACAATATCACTTAATTCATTAATTTTACTGCAATTTTATCGCTTTTTAGTGAATTCGGGCGGTTAGCACGACTAACTCCGAATAACAATAATAAATTCCATGGTCTTTTTTTACATAAAAAATGCTGTATTTAGGCTCAAAAAAGTCTCCAAAACATTATGTTTTTGATTTTTATAAATCTATCTTCAATACAATTTATTATCTTCTATTTTTACTAGGAAGATCAATATTTCCCTACAGTAATGGCATGGCAACTTTTCAAGAAACCATTCCACCTTCAAAAACACGTAGAACCGGTAGATGACTTCCAGGAAATAGGCCTCGATGAGGCCGGAAATGCAGATGAAGATCACGAGTAGAACGGCGAATGTCGACAAAGCTGCGAGAGATTGCATGGTTCTATGTTGCGGAAAGACTTACCGTGATTAAACTCGTCTGGGGTAAGCCCATCCTGCTCCAATCCATAATAATCCTGGGCCAACTGCTTGATAGCGCCCGTGTTCACCCCGATCATGATCAGGATGGCGAGCAACCCGAGGAAGGTCAGCACGAGGCTGATTGCCTGGAAGAAAAGTTGTAGCTTAGGGTGGTTGAAATTGCAGCTAAAATCTGCTAAAAAAAGCCGTCAAAATTAAGCTAAATTTAAAAAGTTAGTTTTTCGTGATAAATATAGCTTAAAATCAGGTTTCCAAATATATATGGCAAATCAAACTAAGTTTCTATTACTTGATACGATTTAAGACACTTTTAAAATAGAAGCTTTTTAAGATTGAAACAGTCGTTGCTGGCGTTAAAAAAACTGCATTTTTGATGGAAAACCACGAATAAACGAGAAGAAATACGCCAGTATAGCCGAAATAGCTTTCATTTTTCCCAGATAAAAGTAAAAAGCAAAAAGCAAAACATTCGGTAACCCGGCGAGCTAGAACCCTTGAGCCTTGGCTTCGAAGGGGAGTCGACATTCTCTGCGCTAAGGGTGCCAGCCGGGACCTTGGCTGGCCGAGCGGGGAGAGACAGAAAGAGAGAGAGAGAGAGAGAGAGAGAGAGATAGAGAGAGAAAGAAAGAGAGAGAGAGAGAGAGAGAGAAACTGGAGAGAGCGATAGTGAGAGAGAGTACGTGGGAGAGAGCGAGAGAGAACGATGGACAGCAAAAAAAAACTACAGAAATACCATACTTTTCCAGCAAAAAAATCCACCTTCCGTGGCAAATATAACTTTTTTCGAATTATTATCTTAATTGCGATTAAATTAATCTAATTATGTATTTCTTGTAAAAGTAAATATATGAGTTTCTTCTCCATCATTCTGCCCACCTGAAAGATCATATACGGCAAGATATAGAGCCGCTTCTCCTTGAACACGCCGTAGAGCAACATGCCGAAGATGACCAGGCCAAAAGCTACAAAAAAACACTAGAATTAAGGAAATCGCCAATAAATTGTTTTGTCTATTATTTCCTCGAGAGTCCCATGTTAGGTTGCCAATATCCAGTTTTTACAAACTATAAAAACACCCACCAGCACTAAAAATATTCTGGAAAGCAACGGTGGCCGTTCGGGTGAGGGAGAAGATGACGGAGACGGCCAGGGAGATGGCTAATAGACAGGATACGATGCGGGCTCCTTGCTAAAAGGTGTATTTAGTTTTCAACTACCGTAATCCTCACCTTAATGTGCAAATTTCCACAGCAACAGTTGTACTTCTTGGCGTTCTGGTCAAACGGGAGATTGTGGGCCCGGGCGGCCATCGCGAAGCAAAAGTCGTCGATTTTTGCTGACTTCAATCAAATTTTTAATTAGCTGTAGGGAACGTTAAAGATACGCTAGAATATTTAATTAGATAAAGCCGGAAATCGAGCTATAATGATTGAGGAAAAACCATTAGAAAAGTCGAATTTTCGTTTTTCACGTGTTTCTTTCTACTTTTTCGCTTTTTATACGTTGTTAAACTACCTGCTACGCCTAAAATTGATAGCAGACATAAAAATCCTCTTCTTAATCGGAGAAAGTAAAGTTGATGATGTGACGCCCCAAAAAAAACAGTTAAAGGTGTGGAAATTTCGTTTCTTCGCCGGTTTTAGAGAAGGTGGGCATTTTTCAAACTTATTTAGGCATCGCACGTTTTTAACTTAATAAACCGGTAGTAAACCTTAAAAACTCCTATTGTTAGCTCTTATTGCAACTTTAAACTATCGACTAACGGGTCTAAAGAGGCGGTAAACTCGGTTTATACTTTTTCAACACCTTAAAACTATCCATTAGCCGTTTTAGAGAAACCAAAACCTTCTATTCTATAGCGCTAAAAACTAAAAGTATCGATTTGCCACTGTAGGAAAGCGAAAAACGTCAATTTTTGCGTAAAACTTCAATAAAAAAGGAAATGTAGCTTAACGAATACGTGAAGTCTATATTTCAATTAACAACCCATAAATCAATGCAAAAACCCAACGAAAAAGTGAGCCGCGTGTTATTCGGCGAGTTTCACGATTTCGTGTGGCTGGGCCCGAGCCGTTGTTGGCCAAATATCGTCTGTTATCCCAGCTGTCGGCGGCGGCGGGGCCCGCCATCAGATTTCCTATTTTGCGCACCGCACATCCCGATTTTCGCAATAATCGATGCTTTTCCCGGGTCCCAGCCGGGTAGCTTTTTCCCGAATATGAATGAGTCATTGTCCAATATTTTCGAGAGTGGTGTTCGTGATGTTTTATTAGGCAGGTAACGTTCAAAAAAGCATGAAAATACAAATATATCGAATTCACAAAAGTAAAAATTTAGTATATACATTGTAAGGCACCGAGAGAGTTAATAAATTTCATGGCAAATCTTGCGGCAGATAGAAAATTACAAAAAGTGACGATAAATTAAGCGAGAGCGGTGAGACCCGACAACCCGAGGGAAAAAATAGCCATTATAAAACAATTATTTACAACGTAAGAATCAACCATGTATATCGAAACCAAAAGCTATATCCAAATCGAGAAAAGTCCTTGATCGCCGCGTTTAGAAATCCCCGATTTCTCGTATTCCCGCTGCAGCCAATCCACGTCATTTCCGGCGAGCATCTCGATTATCAGCTGCTTGACGGCGAGTCGGGCCGGCTTCTCCCAGTTTGGCCCCTGGTAGGATTCGAGCTAAAAAAACTTATGAAAAAAACTCGATTTGAAACCGACCTTTGCCATCAATTCCGGGCCCCGTTTGTCATCCCTAAACACCAGCCGGGCAATCGAGTCGAACGCGATCGGGTTGTCTTTCTAAAAAATTATTAATGGTTTTAGGTACTGGGCTATTAGCAGGGGGGAAACTAATTTTTGCTTTTCCGCCTATTTTTATAGTTTTTAGTAGTTTTTGAATGCTAGAGAGTTAGAAAAATTCCGAAATTTCGGAGAACCCTATCGGCCATTTTCTATCTATTTTCAGCCAAACGTGAAGAAGTTCGAAAATTTTACATTTTCAAATGAAGTTTTTATAGAAATATGGTGCAAAAATCAATAATAACTGGCTAAACAAAATAAAAATTTGCTTTTCCCCCTCCATTCCGGTACGAGCTTTTCGAAAAAATTAAAACCTATAGAATTCAATTTAGTTTAGAACGTAAAAATACCATAATTCTAATGGTGCTCAACACACAGTCGACGAGCACGGTGCCGATCGGGGATTCTCGATGGTATCGTGCCAGGCCGACCATCAGGAGCGCGAGGATCGGGAGGAAGTCGAGCTGCGCGATCAGATCCGAGTACGATTTTTGGAGCTAAAAACGACGTTTTATAAGAACAAAAGCAAAAAAAATTTCAAACGGATGCTTAAATGCATAATTAATGTTATGTCCTTTAAACGAATCTTAAGCAAACACTCACTAATTCTAGAATCGCTAGAACGCCCTGTGCAGCTTTGCCCGCTGCCCCCGTTTCCCGAATTGACAGGCCGAGAAGGAGATTTTGGAAAATCAACCGGAGATCTTGAGAACCCGTGTTGGCGTCCCGGGCTATTGGAATGCCTAAAAATGGATAATTTCATGAGGCCAGAAAAAATTAAAATAAAACCATTTTGGCCAAAAAAAACCGACCCTGAGCGTCGAGGATAAAGTAGCGGATCGTCGTCACCCACTCCTTGAGCAGGCTGACGAACTCGCGCTCATGGAAGACGGCTTCAGCGGGGTCGAGTCCTCCAAAAAATCATTAAAATTGTAAATAATTCTACATATAAAACTGCAAAGATATGTATAACTTGAAAACAATATAACTTTCTACATAAAAAACGCTAAAAACTATTCCCTTCCCCTCAATTGAATGGAATAAATAGAATTTAAATAGTGATGAAAAATAATTCCCGATGTTTCAGCCCTCCAATGTCTTCAAACATTCCAATTTTTGCAAATTCCCTTGGCTTTTAGGTCGTTTAAAAACCCACTTAAAATTAAGAAACAAAAATTACAAAATCAACCAACCCGTCACTTCCGGTTGGCCCCTAATTTGAACCCGGATTAACATCGCGCACAGGTCGCCGAACAGCTCCCAAAATTCCGGAACGTGCTGGCACTTTTGCACCGCTTCCTTCCTAAATGCATTAAAAAATTATTCTTCTTCCCTTTTCCGAGTCAATTGTACCAAATTTAACTGTACAACCTAAAAAATTTATTATTCCAAAAATTCATACCATATCTACCATTAAATTTAAGAAATTCATGCCGCATAATTCAAAACAAAATACCTAGCATTGAAAGCAAAAAATCACCCACCAAAAGCGTCGGATCCAGCTCTTCAGCCGGAAATCGGGGACGGCCGCCCAGTCGATTTGGCGCAAGTAGGGGGCCATCGAGCTGAACGAGTCGGGGAACCGGCGAATGGCGGCGATCATCGCCGAGATGCTAAAACGTGAATTTCGGCTGAAGATACATTCAACACTTACATCGATTCGTGGAGGTCGTTGTGGAATTTCTTGCACATTCCCTCCCAGGTGTCCTTGTTGTCGGCGAAGATGTCGTCGAGATCGTCGATTGGGATCGCTAAAAATCGGGGTTTAAACTTGAAGTTGAAATTTTTTAGCTCAAAAATCCAACAAATTGCAAATATAAACTGCGCTTTAAATATTGCAAATATAAAACCGTAAAAGCGCTTTAAAACTGACAAAGAGCCGTGGCCGCGTGCTCGGCGCACGGCTTCCGCAACTCGACGAGTAGGCTCGGCGGCATGAAGCTATTCTCGGTGGTGGCCCGGAAGAGAAGCCTAAAAAAGATATGATGAAACGGGCTGTTAAACTTACGCAGCAAAAGCCGCCGTGCTGGCGATGGGCGCTTCGAACAGCTTGCGGAAGTGGGCCTCAAGCTCGGGCTCCAGATTCTTGACCACCTTCAGCACGCCGTCCATCGTGTTCAGCGTGGCGCGCAGCTGGAATTAAAACAGAAATAGAAAATTACAAACTAGATTAAATTAAATGTCTAAGTAAATAATTAAATTAGAAAATTCATGATTTTTTTTAGTTCTAATTCGTTAGCAGGATGGATGAGGTGTTTTAATAAAATTTTATGTTTTATATTTATGTTTTTATTTCTTAAATTGTACCGTTCTTCGCTGCTCGACCACGACGACATCAACCTCATCGTCGACAGCACACGGCTGCGCGAATCCGAGCGCCGACACGATCGCTTCGGGACCCGTCCAAGCTGGCGAGCTGCTCGCAAAGTACGCGCAGATGCTCTCGCACGTCTTCTCCAGCATTACCAGCTTCTCCTCGGGGCGTTCGAACGGGAAATCGATGGCGTAGGCGAGCACCTGGAGATTTCCGCCGATAAAAACAGGCAAATTTCCAAACCTGTGACATAACAGCCGTTTGCATCGAGGTCAAGCGCTCCCGGACGGCGTCGTAAATTTCCAGCAATTTTTGGCGGACTTGGACGGTTTTCTAAACGGCGGGTGATGATTTTTGTGAAAATCATATGTCCGAAAACTATTTTTAAAAGTCTATTTTTACTATAGACTTTTTCACGGATTTTTCGAAAATGGTATTTTAGAAGTCAGTATGCTGAAAAAATTGAAACGGTACTGGCGCCGCATTTCTCGTTTTAATAAATCCCTCAAAAATAATTTTTTGAACTATTTTTCGAATGCCAAAAAACAAATGAATTTTGAAAAATGACTTATTAGGGTTCAATTTCTCAATATAGTAAGCTGAAGTGCCTCTAAACTGCTTTGTCAATCAAACCCAATCAAAACTTTGCAAATTTCCGTTAAAAAATACAAAGTGTATCGATTTTTCGACAAAAAATTGCCGGTTTTTGATCAAAACTTCGGTTTTCTAAAATAATTTAAGTTTTTAGATTGTCTTTCTAGCTGAAACCTTCTAAAACACTAACAAAATACTTGCTTTGAAGATTAGACATTTCTAGACTTATAAAAACAATCTTGGTCCTATCATAATGCAAAACAGCCCAAGCTCTATACCTCGACTAGCACATTCTTCTCGAGAAACGACACCAGACCGGCCAGCGTGTGACGCTTGAACTCCAACTAAAATCAAATAATTTTCTAGATATTTCTAACAAATTTTACCTGTTGCTCCTTGATTTTCGGGTCCTCGAGCTCCAGCTCGGCCCAAAGGATCGTTTTGACGTTGTCGAGGTATTCGAACAGTTCGGCGATCCGCTCGGGGCGCCCGAGCAGCGGCAACAGCGCGTGGCCCAGCGTCGACAGGTCGTTGGCCAGCGCCCATCTTTCGCGTTGTAACTAGCAAAAAATTAAAACCAGGTCTAGCAAAACCAACTAAATCCCGCATCTTTGCCAGCACCTTCTTCGGCCAGTCGCTGATCAGGGCTTCGAGTTTCTGAAAAAATTGGTTTTTTCTTCCCGGTTTTGCGTCAATTTTCGGTAGTGTTCTGTTTGCGGGGGGGTAATTTTCCTAATAATCCCTTATGGCTCTACGATGCGACGTAAAGCACTTTTATAGCATTTTACACTACGAAAATGTATGACTTTTTGCCCGAAATGCAGGCGAAATGACCCAAAAACTGTAAAAATTTTCTAAATTTTTAAATTTTTTTTAACCTTCTGCAATCAACAACTACTAAAAATACTATAAAAACGCCCAATGTATTACTAATAGATATAGGCAAAAAAACCCAAAAAAAAAAAATCAGTTCCTCCATGAAGAAAATCCCCGCTAACAGTCCAGGACCGAAAATTCGAAGTTTTAAAGATTCTAAAAATGGTTTTACATATAAAATCTACACAGGTATCAAAAAAATGGCCGTTGATTTTTAGGAGATTGCTCTTGGCCCGAAAACAGCCCAAATCTGGCTTTCCAAACAAAAACTAAATTTTCAAGCTCAAGGGAATAAAAATGTCGATGCCCCATTCGTTACAGTACCTAGCGTCGGCATTGTATTCGAATGTGGAAACGCTCTTTGTAGCACCATTCGCTGAAGTGGAATGCGGTGAGGTACCGCAGTCCACTGGATGATAGGCGCGGCGGGGGGTCGAACCCGGGTCATTTGGGTGGGGGGCGGGCGTACTAGCCACTAGACCAAGCGCTGGGTAGCGATTGGGAAGGGAGGCGGCATTTGGACCGGGGCGAAATTTTTACGGGGTTTCCACCAACGCCGCAGAAGTCAGAAAAACACCTAATTCTTAAAATTGTTATAGTTTATTTGTTGTGATTTCTATGTTACAGAAATTTGTACAAAAATAAGCTTTTCAAAAAGTTTTAAAAAACCAATAAAATTTTTATTAGAGCACTATCTAAAAATTAAAGGTCAGAAAAGGGCTATCATCCCCGCTAAGAATTATTTATACTTTGCAGTACAATTAAAACTACAAAATTAAAACGCTTAACCAGTTTTTTAAAAGCTATCTAAAGCGGGTAAACCAGTAGGTAAGTGAAACTTTATAAACTGGCTAAAAGGATCATTTTCGCCTCATTTTTAAACGTATATAAAAATTCAGAAAATAACGTTCTACAACATAAAATTTTAAACAACTCAAAAATTAACAAAAATTTAACTTTACAGAATCCGGAAAAATAGCCCGTTTTCGAAGGTAAAATAGAACACAGAAAAATTTATTTTAAAACCCATTTAAACCACAAACCAACCTCCACCGGGACATCCGGCTGCTCCTTGCGGTTCTTCTGGCTTTTCCCGTTCGTCAAATTGTAAAACGTCTTCAGCGTCTTGCCCCAGAACTCGCACTCCGTCTCGAGCACTAAAAAGTGATTCCCTAAAAAATGTCCAGACTACCATACCCGTATCCCCCTCATCTAGCCGATCGATGAATCTCGTCTGCACCACCTTGGTCATTCGCTCCAAATCGTGTCGCGCCGCGATTTCCACGAAGGTGAAGAAGTGGTTCCGGCATTCTGAATACGGCTTTTGAAATGGGTAAAATTAAAGTGAATAAATTCCAAAAAGTTTGTTGCGCTATCAAATAGCAACTTTATCCTGCACAGTTTCAAAAATTAACTGAGAAAAATATTTGAAACGGTTTTTAGAATGCCGAAAATTTCCGCAAACTTACTGAGTAATTCCTGCTGCACCTCCGAGTCCTCGGTGAAATCTTCTTGCGAGAATTTTGTGGCGATCGTCGGCGGTTCGTGGGAGCAGAGGACCTAAAAGGAATAAGAAATGTGTGTTTCGCTGCGTTTATTTAATCGCTAATTCACTAAAAAGCGTTTTTAATTTTTTTCGCAAAATTCAACTATAACAGAAGTAAAAAGTCTTGCAAAAAATGTAAAAATCTTTGGAAAAGTTGGCATTTTCATCGTTCTGAATCAAAAAATTTGAATTTCCACCCTGAAATCAAATTCATAATTGAATTATAGTTTCTAGGGTCAAGAATAGGCAAAAACATAGCAGCTATTTTCCTAACAAAAGCTGGTTATGCGCCCAAAGGCCTAAATAATCTTCTTACATCTTCCGTCATGTAGTCGACCGCCATCTCCGCCAGGTTCGACACGCATTCCATGAAAAAGGGAGCGTCGCGTATCGACTGACCGGCGCTCAGATTTGCGATAATTTCGAGGCCAATCCGGCGGAGGGTCTAGAAAAATGAACTATCGCCAAAGAAAAAGACCTTACCAAGCTCTGAAAATTGACGAGTGAAACGGCATAATCCATCAGCCATCGCAATTCCCTCGATTTGGGATCAAGCCCCTCGGTGGCGGTGTGCGCAATTGTTGTGAGGATGGGTACGGAAACTTTCAGGCGGTCGTACGCTTCGGCGTATGGCATCGGATTTGATATTACCTAAATTGCAGTTTTCAAATCGAGCTAAAATTTTACCGAAAGCTTCAGCGTGTCCATGGCGGTCCGTAGATTTTCACAGAGTACAATATTGCACGCGTAGACGTCGAAGCCTTTCCTGGAAGGAGAAATTCGGTGTTGCTGGCACGAAAAAAATGCCACTTCCTTCCTTTCTTTACAAAACTAAAAAAAACGGTTCTTTCGCATTATCGGGGGACTAACTTTTTTCTCTTAAACCATTTTCCAAGAAAAATTGCGCGACTGTTTCTAAGCCGGCTATTATTATTCCTAAACGTAAAAAACTTTCTAAATTTTGCATTTTAAAAAATACAACGAATATTGCTTGCCCGACGAAAAATCGCCGATTTTGACGAAAATTTCAACCAAAAATACTTTTCTAGTCTTTTATTGTTTTTCCACAGAATATGTAGTTTCGCAAACCCCATTAAAACATAATATTATGATACTAGGCCTTCCTGAACCTGAACTGACACAAAAACCTCCAAAAATACAACTTTTAGGCCTTCATTTTACCTCTTTTTCGCAATAGCCGCGATCAGCCCGGCGGCGTCGTGCGTTATTCGGGTCCCAATAAGCAGCGCCGCTTTCTCGACGATCGGCCCCTTGTTTTGCGGAAAGTCGGGCGATCGACTTGCCAGCAGCTCGAGAAAACGAAGCACGGCTGAGCAGACGACCAGGAAGTTGGCTTCTAAAAAAAAGAAAATCGTTTATGGTGTCGAAACTCACCACTCTCCGCACCGCTCTCCGCTGGCCCGCATGGCTCGAGAAACGCATCAATCGTTTCGACGACTTTCTTGACAAAGTCGATAACGCGTAGCTCGTACTAAAAATGGCATAAACATCAGAAACAAAGACGCTTGCCTTGTCCTTATTTTTGGGGAATTGGTCGTAGAGTTTTCCCAGGATCAAAAATGTCAAAATGGCGCCGGTGTAGCCTAAAATATGAAAATGCAAGTTCATTTTTGAAACGGCACTTTTCGAAATGGCCGTCTGCAGCGCGGTGATCCAATCGTCACAATAGTCGGGCAGCGTACGGGCGGCTACGGCCTAAAAAGAAGAGTTACCAAAAATATCAAATTTAGGTTAGAAATGGCAGTGTAAACCGACAGGGGGGGGACGGGCTCGGAGGTATAAAGTTAATTTGGACTATTTACTTATTTGATAAAGATTATAGAATTAGCTTAACCTATATGCAAAACGTCTGGTGGGGGACTCCAGAAATACCAAAAATATAGATTTTTCGACATTAAAAAAGTTAATAAAGTTGTCAAGTTTCAAATGGCTGTTCAATTTGAAAGAGAGTTGTGCTTTCCTAGAAAAACACTAATAAAAAACTCCCTATTACGCTGCCAGACAATTCTAAGCTGATACAAAAATTTTCGTTACCCCGATAATGCGAAAGAACCAAGTTTTGTACACCTTAATGCGAAAGAACCAAGTTTTATATACCTATTTCCTCCACTCACCGCAATTGCCTCGGCCGCATGCTCGCGCCAGTACATTTCGGCAGGTGGCGTCTCGTTTGACAGCAAAAATGCGGAGCACGCGTCGATCAGCACTTTTCGGCGGCCGGCTGATAGCTTGTCCCAATTGTTTCTAAACAAGAATATAATTATTTTCTTTGTTAGTTCCTAGTTTCTATTAATTACGAAAAAAACTAAAAGGCATTCTTTTTTTTTTTCAATTTCCTATTTCTAAAAAATATTCCGCACCTTATCTGCTGCTCAACACATTTCCAGGCGAGGTACTGCAGTTGGCTTTGCTCAACGGGGCCCAAAGCACCGGAGTAGGCGAACAGCCTCTCGGCCACCTCGAGGCCCTCATCGCCGTTGAAGAGGGCGTAGAGCTCCTGGAAATTAAGACGTCTTAAAAGCATCCCAAAATTCAAAAATACCGAAAAACGTGCAAAAACAAACCTGTGTCACCTCTGCGCGATCTGCCAGGTCGGTGCTTCCGTCGTAGAAAAGCCGGCACAGCTCGACGACCCGTTCGGCATGGCTCATCGAGGTGAAGGGCCTGTAAAGAGTCGGATATAGTTGGATTTATGGACTTTAAGATGATTTTGCAATGGAAAAGCTTTGAAAAGTAATTTTCAATTTTCAATCGGGCCGCGGGGGCCGGGCGGGTCAAATTAGATGGCGTAACCGGGCGCGCGCAAAATAGCATAGAACCCCACCCAAAAAACGGCCAGTTTAAAGGGTTTGTGAAGACAAAAAACGTCTTCTCGGCTCAACTTCAGCGTTTGGTGTAGCTATTTCTTACCTGAAAACCCCCAATTACTTTTTACAAGCCTGAAACCGAGAGAGCTTCATGAAGGAACGTTTCTTTTACGTTATTCTAGATCCAAGCCCTTCGCCAAAATCGAATTCACAATGCGGTATGTTACTCGGCGCCAATATCCGTGTATTTCAAGGTCAAAATTCCGATAAAATATTTATTAAGCGACACAGCGAGAAGTGGGGGCAAAACAATGGCAGAGCATAGACAAATCACAGTTGATGACACTTGGTTCAAATATCGATAAATTGGTGGCTTGTTCGACGAGTTTTAAGAAGAGAAGTTGCTAGTGCTCGGGCGGCGGGGTGCTGGCCGTGCTGCCACGACGACGGCGCCTGAAAAATGAAATTGAAATTCAGGGGACCGGGAAGTCAAAAATAAGATAAAAGCTCGAAAAGGAAAAGATATACCTGCCAGTCCTGGTGGCGGTGGATGCCGACGACGAGTTGGAGGCACGCGATCTGCGGGTGGCCGTCGAGGTAGATGAGGGCTGGGCAGCGCGTGAGCCAGCAGTCGCCGTCGAAGCGGAACCAGCTGCCGATGAAGCCGTGGCGGTCCTGGTGGCCGAGCGGGCACTATGGTGGGGCGTCGAACCGGCGGAAGCCGAGGTGGCGGCAGACGCCGGACGCGGTGGTACGGAGGTGGAGCGGCGCCTACGAGGCCTCGACCTAAATGGACTTGTAATTGATAGTGTTTCAAAAAAAACTCACGCGTCACGAGAATTGGTCGACGCCGTGCTGCCGCGGGTGGTCGACGAGCTGGGAATCGTGGTGGCGCCAGAAGATGCCGTTCTGATGGTCGACACCGACCGCTGGCGAGCCGTACGCATCGGAGGCGAGATGGGCTAAAAAATATTTTTTACGCCGTTTTCATGTTCGTCATAAAAATTTACTAAAATGACGGATCTTGGCTAAAAATGCATCTTCAAATCCTCAAAAACAGTTTTGATAGCTTTTTAGCACTCAAAAACTACTCATAGCTATGAAACAAATCCCGAAAGCGATCAAAAAATCATCGGCTAGATAGGCATATGCTTGATCACTCCCCCGTTAACAGTACAGTACCGGAGAAAACTAAACCACAATGTACAACCTACACAAAATTCCATACCCTGGCCACAGGCCTCGGCGGCTGGGGCGGAGGAGGCGGCGGGGCCGGGAGCGCCAGCGGAGCCGGAGGGGCGCCAAAGTCCTCAAAGTTGGGGCCGAGCTGCAGCATGTCGAGTAGGTTCAGGAACGCGTTGTCGTCACTAGAAAAAAAAGAGTTATAGGAAGATGCCCAGAAACATACGGCGGCTCAAGTCCATCACGACGAGCAGGGGATCCGTGCTGAGCCGTCGTGCTCGAGATGGCCGACACGCCCTCCTAGAAAGAGAGGGATTCCAGGGATCAGGAGGTGACCACGGACCTGCGAAGACGGCTGGGCGTCCAGCATCAAAGACTTCTCGACAAAGCTAAAAAGGGGATAAAGCTGATTTCGCGAAAACTCACGCCAGCTGATTTTCCGGGACCGGCTTGGTCGCTTCGGGCACTTGCGTCGCCCAGCGCTCCGGTGTCTAAATCAAAAATTATATTGGTTGTTTGCATTATTGCGCGGGGCTGATTTTTTGTTATTGTGTGGGTGCCTGCTTACAAGAGACTTTTAGGTGGCAGGATTTCGAAGGGACCTACCTATCTTGTGCAGAATTTTTGCTGATTAACGTACTTTGTAGATTTGCGAATCGATCGAAACCAAGTTATAAGGGTTTAAAGTGTGAAAAGGCCCAAATGGCCTACTTTCGGCACCTATAAATAGCAGATAGTTTCCACGAAAACTAATTAGTGGATCTTGCTCAGAAAATTACGCTCTTTCGAATGAGCCATGTCCGCGGATTTCAAATTTCGTCAATTGCTGATTTCCATGGGGACCTGTCGCTAAATTAATCTTTTTGAAAAATGTTGAACTTGTTTCTGAGATGGCTCTTCGAAAGAGCGTAATTTTCTGGCAGATGCACTAATTGTTTTCGTGGAAACTTTTCTGCTTTTTTATAGGTGCCGAAAGTGGCCATTTTGGGCCTTTTTCACACTTTAAACCCTCATCTTTGGTTTTCCGGTCGTTTCGCAAATTCTACAAAGTACGTTTTAATCAGCAAAAAATTCTGCACAAGATAGGCTAGGTCCCCTTCCGAAACTCCGTGCCCAGCTAAACGCTCCTTGTTAGTGGCTAGTAAATTAATAGGAAGTATTTATTAGTGTTTTTAGTCGCAAATCACTATATTTAGACTAGAAAACTACATAAAACTTGTTGGAAATTAGAAATTTCAGTCAAAAATGTCGATTTTCGGTGAGATTATTTCTGTGTTTTAACCAAAAGTTGTAGGTTTTTTACGTTTAGGAAAAGTAAAAAATCGTTTAGAAACCCTTGCGCTAGTGATATTTGAAGTAGTGAATCCTGACAAAAAGCCCCGATAATGCAAAATACCCTATAATATTTCTTTCAACCCAAAAATAAACATGCCATTGTAACGTTCCTCTGCGGGCGGATCGGCATCCGAACCGGGATCGCGATAGGGCGGTACGGGTCGCACCAGTACATCTCGGAGATCTGAAAAAAGGGTTCGATAAAACTCCAGAAAATGGCTACCAGCTTGCAGTTGTCGTTGGAGCCCTTGAACGCCTTCATCTTGATGACATCGGGGCGCACAAATTGGATCTATAAAAAAATAAAGACGAGGCTGCCCAAAAACCTGAAATTTGTAGGCCACGTCGAGCTTCTTCGGGTCGGGCAGCCGGCAGGTGAAGCCGTTGAGGCGGAGGAGCTGAAAAATGAAAAAAGTTTCAATCGAAGATGGCTTCTTTAGATTTTTTTAATTTTTGACGCCGTATTTTTTTTAGAAGCGTTTTTATAGTTATTTTATGTTAGGCCCGTACCACGAGATTCTTCGGGAAAAACTCCTCGATGCAACGCTTGAAAAAGTCGTTGTCCATCATCTCACAGTGCAAATCCAGCGTTTGCAAGTTGGTCAACTGCCTGGAAAAAAAAGAAAAGTAGAAGTAGCTCTAAAATGCAAACTTCAGGGTGAACGGCAGCGGCTCGATCTTCTTGGTGGCGGGTGGTGGCGGGCGATGGATCGAGAAGAGCGAGGCGGGCAGCGAGAGCTCGGTCAGGTGCGTCAGTTTATCTAAAAATTGAATTTCAGCCCAAAATTGCTGTTCATCTACCGAAATTGACAATAAGAAGGGCGCTGACGGTGTCGACGATGCAGCCGGAGAGGTGCAAGACGCGCAGGTTGGTCAGCGTGCCGATTTTCGTGAGGACTTCGGAGCGGAGGGCGATCCCGGTCAGGCGCAACTCTTCCAAAGAGGGCGAGAACAGCTCCTCAAAAGTGAACACTGTCTTTTGAAAAACGCGATTCCCTACCTCGGCACTTTGCAGCGTCATCTGGCGCTTCAACAGCAGCTTGCCCTCGTCGATGCGCTTCAGAATGCCGAGCGTCTTCAGCTTCGGGAATGTGGTATTGAACACGGGCGTTCGCCATCCCCGAGCAGTTCTGAAAAGTAAAGATTAGAACAAGAATGGCTGCATAAGATAAAAACAAAAAAAACATACACGAGAAAGTTGTCGGAGGACAGGTCGAGCTGGCGCAGGTAGGGGGCGTACGGCACGAGGGCGTTGATCTCTGCCTGACCGAGTTGATGCTGGATGGAGATCTGAAACAAATATAGTTACTTCTAGAAAAAATGAAAAAGGTAATGAAAACAAAAATTACTCTATCACGGGGTTTTTTTTCTATGGCGAGGCGCGCACGGAATAACGTAGCAGTCCAAACGACAGGTGGATCGGCTGCGCGCACAGAGCCCCATATTAACCCCAGAGAGGGGCCCGAAAAGTTGCCAAATTTTACTACTTCTAAGGCTTATAACTTTTTTTCTAGAAACTTTGATCAATTCTCCACCTCACCTATCGATAGAGAAGGATCCCAGCTACATTTTGGTAGCAAAATAAGGACGATCGCGAGGCACAACATTGACTTGAAAGCCGTTTAAATGGACCCAGGACTGAAAATCTGGAAATTGTGCGAAGCGTTTTTCTTAGAATTTAGACTTAGTATTTCCGCTTTTTGGTTTAGTTTGTTGACGGATGATGGCCAAGACAAATTTGCTACTTAAAGGTGCTGATGTCAAAACGCCGAAGAGCCGAAGGCTTGATTTTCCAGACCTTCCGGAATCAACCGGTACAACACCCCAATTTGCCTGCAATTGTTTTCAGGGGCAAACCTAAACAGCTTCAGGCAATTCCTGGTAAAAACTAAGTTAAACGAGCCAGAAGTAGCCATAATCCCTCGATTTCTATGTGTAGCGTCAACTTGGGTAAATTCGGCAGTTCTCGTTACTGGGGTGTGTATATCAAGGATGTTGATGCTCTTCCGCAACTTTTCGTGAAAAAAGCAAAACGGGATGATGTTTCTTTCCCCGGGAGGGATCGAACCAGCACCCCCCACCTGTCCCTTGGACCGGCGCCTTAGACCACTAGGCCAAGCCCCTCCCCACCCCCCATGCGCGCGAAAAGACCCCGTGCTATGGCTAAACGAAACGAAATTTTTTAGTCATTGAGTACGGGGGCTCCTCTCTACACCACAACGTACACCGTAGCGCAACGGAATTCAAAAACCGTTTTTTTGGAAAAATTTTAGTAAATGAAAAGATAATGAAAGCGAAAACCAATCTAGAAAAAAAAAATCAATTTTTGGCTGATTGAATACGGGGGCGCCTACCTACGTGTCAACGTACATAGTGGCGCAACGGAATTTGGATAAATTCCGTGATTTTCAAATTTCTGACAAATTCGAATATTTGTAGTAAAATTTTTGTTCAAAAAGCGTATTTCTATCCGGAAAAGTTACCTTGTGGATGCTGGGGCACAACGCGGCGATCTGTTCGAGAAAAGTGGCCGATTCGGAGGGGCTTTTCGCCTTTTCCAGCCGTCCGGTGAAGATCTTGCCGGCGACGTGGGCCTCGTCCGTGTCGAGCAGCAGCGACGTCACGTCGCTCCACTGGCGCAGCAGGTCGTAGTTCCTGATGTTTGAGAAATGAGGGCTATTTTGGCTGCCTATTTCGTATATTTAGGGCCGATATCTGAAACCTTAGGCTTTCTCAGTAATTGTAGAAGCTGAAAAAAGGAACTTCTGGGTGGTAGAGGCGAGGCTGAGGCGATCGGGCCCGGTGAGCCGCTCGGCCACCATCTGTAGCACATCCCCGGACGGCACCATCGGGTTGCTGGAGACGGAGCGAGTGGTGATGTAATATTCATCAACACCATTATAGGATTCTACCGGAAGTGCATTCTTCTGGATTCTAATTTTGCATGTGTAAATTGCAGGTCGTTCTTTTGAGATCGAATGTTAGCTTGTAGAACTTCATTTGGTTCGTAAAATTCTTTATTCCCCCCCCCCCCCCCCCCCCCCCCCCCCCCCCCCCTCCCCCCCTCCCCCTTCTTTTTTTTTTTCCCCCCCTCTTTCCCCCCCACCCGGGTTTTTTTCCCCCCCTTCCCCCCCCCCCCCCCTTTTTTCCCTTGGAGCCCCCCCCCCCAAAAGGGGGCCCGGAAAAAAAAGGGGGGGCCCGGGGGGGGGGTTTTCGCCCCTACCCTTTATTCATGCCATGCAACAAGAAAATCAACAAGAAAATTGTAGCTGATCAGATAATCAGATGTATCACTATGAAATGGCAACTAAAACAACGGCAAAATAGGGAGATGGTGCATTATTAGAGCGGATCCCTGATCTAGTCCTCGTACACCAGCCCGTCATCATCATCAAGGTCACTAAATTAGGTTTACAGGTAGCTTCTCCCAACTGACCCCGTGGCATTCTCATGCTTTGGCGGTTTCATTTCCGTAATTCCAGCTTCTCCATCGTAGACACACTCCTCCTCATCTTCAGCAGGGTTGGCCCACATCACGAAATCGTCGGCCGTTTCCGCCGGTGACTGGCGACGTGCCATAGATCTGAAAACGTTGTTTAGTTTAAAATTGAAACTTTATAAAAATTTGTTTTGGAAGATTGAAAAACTGACTGGAAATTTTCGTATAAGTTTAGAAATGTACATTTTCTTAATAGCAAGTTGTTTATTAGTTCCTTTAATAAAAAAAACTATATTTCAACTAGAAAAACCATCCAAAAACTTTTAAAAAGTCGAAATTTTGGACGAAAAATCGATATTTTTGACATTTTCACGAAAATTTTGGAAAGTTTTTAGGTGGCGGAATAGTAAAAAACCATTTATAAACATTCCCGCTATTTATATATGCAAAATTAGATCCTAAAAATTGGTCCCCCGATGATGCAAAAGAACCGAGTAAGTTTTGGCGGTTCAAACTCACCGATTTTTATCGCTCTTCTTCCGCGGTGGCCACTGCACCCTAGAAAACTCAGTCAAGTTTGCAAATAAATTATGGCAGTACTTTTTCGTCTTCTCCATCACATTTCGTATCAGCTCATCGCAATAGTTGTCGTCGAGGTGTTTGAACACCCCGGTGACGGGCGGTGGATCGTCGGTTGGCGGTAGATGATCGCCCGGTATTTTCAGGACGTCCATTTGCGTCCAGCCACTCGTTTCGCTACTAAAAACGGGGGATTCGTCGGCTACTACGTTCAAAAATACCTTTGAACTCCCAGAGATTTTGCCTGCTTCCTTCGCTGGGCTTCTAGGAATAGCTGGGTGCGATTTCGAGGTTTCGCCGGTGGCGTTTCAATTTCCGTAGGCGTAATTTCACTAATAAAGCGAGCTTTCTTATACTTTTTTGGCACTTACATCGTTGCAAACACTTTCTTCTCCCTCGTCCCGACGAAACAGTCTTCAATTTCTCGCCGGCTGAGCGAGACTTTGACGAAATGTTCGCTTGGCTCGCTAAAGGTTCAGTATTTCCAGTTTTTCTCGTAAATAGTCTATTCTAAAATCTTCTAATTACCTTTTAACCTTTCGCAAAGGCGTTAGAGGGTCGAGGAAGTCGAAAAAACCCTCATCTTTCAGAGCTTCCCTCCTAAAAGAAACTTAAATACGAGGCTTTTAGACTCACAGCTTGTCAGAACCGAGTCTGACTGCGGCCGCCTCGGCTTGGGCTCTCTTCTCGGCTTTACGAGCCTTGACCCGGGCCCTGTAAGAGGCTTCATCGAGCATGACTGCAGCCGCTTCAGCTTCAGCTCTCTCCTCGGCCTCACGAGCTTGGGCGCGCGCCCTGCAAGAGTCTTTAAAACGTCAGATTATGAATTTACATTCGTTGGCGGTTTCGCTTTCGGTATTTTGTCAATCGAGCAGCATATTGCTTGACCGTTTCATTCTCCCCGACTCGGCACCTAAAATATCTTGTAAAATAAAAGACGAAAACTGACCTTGGCGTCTTTTCCGCATCTTCAGCTCCACCCGACGGCGACTTGCTCGTAGACGGGCCGGGTTGGTCTTCATCCCCAGATTCCACGACCTCTTCTCGGGCCTTTTTCAGCAATTCCCTCTCGAGCTCGTCCATTTCGGCCGCAGCTTCTGCCGCTAGTCTCTCTTTCAGACTGGAAAACCCGGGGTTTTCAAATGTAAAACGTGCAAAACTACGATTGAGAAAGTAAAAAAATTACCTCCGAGCATCCGCGATTTCTTGGGCACTTTTCAGCAAGCAGCTCTTCCTACTTTCCGCGTCAGCCCTTCGTCGCTGCTCCAAAGAATCGACAATTTCCGTCGAGGGTTTGTTTTGCGACTTCATGGAGGCATCATCGAAATCCTCGGGGTTTGGGTGCTCCTCGATTTCCATCGGTTCGCCATCGACTATCGCATTCAGTTCGTACTCACGCTCATTAGCGCCGTTCTCGAGCTGTTCGTTCTCGTCTTCAAGCCCCTCTTCTTCCGCTTCTCCTTCTAATGGTGGGAGACCCTTGTGACTTCGCCTGAACAAAGCGCGAGTTACAAAAAAGGTTCTTTCGCATTAACGGTGGGGGGGGAGGGCCGAACTTTTTTTTATAAATCTAGCTATGTCTAATAACTTAATGCAAATGTTTTAATAGTTTTTTTTTAGCAAAAACAAAATTATTTAAACCAGGAAAGCTTTGAAAAGTCGAGGTGTTGGTCAAAATAGGCTATTTTGGGTCGAAAAATCTATATTTTTGACATTTTTAATAAAAATTTCGTATAGTTTTTACGTTTAGGAAAAATAAAAAATAATTGAAAAACACTTCCACGATTGATATTTGAAAGATTAGCACCCAGAAAAAAAAGTTCGTCCCCCCAATAATGCGAAAGAACCAACCAAAAAAGTGAAAGCTTGAAGAAAACTCACCGATATGCGCGGAGAGCGCGATCCCGCGCAATTTTTTCGTGGTCTGCCACCGAAGTCGACGGGGCCTCTGGCTTGGCTATCCTGATCCCTTTACTCTGTTTTGATGTTGATGCGGGCGGGACGAAACCGGGCTCTTCGCATCTCAATTTGTACCTAGAATAAAAATTTATGGTCAAGGAAAGACAGAATCACCTCCAGGTCTTCTTTTCGTTGTAGTCGTGTCTGCGTCGACGATAATGCGTTTTGCTCTGTCTTTCGACTTTAAGCTTAAGCTCAATCTTCTCGGTAATCGTTAGCTCTCGGCTCGTTGGCGTGAAGGGCTTGATGACTTTTACCCTAAAAAGGCCATATCAACTATAATAATTTTCTTGACGCGTCTGTCCGTCGTCTGTCTGTCTGAGCCGAATTCAACTCGATTTTGGTAATATTTCATTTATATAGTCAATTACAAAGACGTTTTTAACCGTGATAACAAACAAAAACCAACCCCTTGTTTTTGCGCTTCGGATTCTGGCGCAGGGGAAATTCCGGGGGTAGCGGATCCTTATTCTTTCCGGAATTGGGCTTCTTCGTTTCGGGTGGTGGAGGCATTTGAGACGGGCCCGGCGATTCGTCAGGGATTTCAAGCCGTGGAGGTTTTTCTTCGGGCGGTTCGATTTTCATCCCGATTGCGGCCAGCCTAAAAAGTGAAAATAGTTCTTTAGAACTTGAGAATCATGGGCACAATTTGAAATAAGATATTGGAGATGATAAAGCGGAAAAAATGACAGATTTTCGCTATTTTGATAGCTGTACGTCTGGGATGTGGGGCTGCCAAAATGGCAGAAAAGGTGAGATAGGGCGCATTGGGAAGAGAAACAGGCCGGGCTAACCTCAAACTTAAAGACAAGGGAAACCGGAGAGATACCTCGACTTCTGTGTGCGTTTTTGGACAAAACCCCGAGAGGAGGGCAGGCTAGCAGAGATTGTTTGAGGAAATTGAGTCTACTGGCCTATAAGATACCGATGTTTGCAATAGTGCGCCATGTGCGTGGTGTGCTTATCTGAAAAATAGCCCCGGGGCTCTGCCGGATTTCAATTAGTTGCATCTGCGTTACAATTGAAGGTCAATGAATGAGAGCTGCAAATACCAAAGACACTTCACTTACATTATTTCCACCCCTGTTGCTATTTAGATGATTTTTTTTTGAATACATGGCCCCTCAAGTTTTACATAGTTTTCTTGTCGGGAAATCAGCCAATTTCTTGCTTAAAATGACTTGAAATGTCCCGATTCGACTCGGCCTCCTAGAAATACCGTAACTTCGGTATTTTACGTCAGTTTAAACCCAAACATAAGGTAGTGGATCTGATAATGCGTCGCGTCAATATGACAATTTGGGTGGCGATGGCTCGATATATTTATTGAAGCGTCAAAGAGGGATTTCGATGAATTATTCAGGAAGTCCGATCAGAAATAATTTCTTTACATTTCCGCCCTCTCCGCTCAATGATAATTTTCGGATTCTCGTGTTTTCGGATTACAGTTTGGGGCGTTGTGTTGTTGTAGTTTTTGAATTAGTAATAATTTTAGTTTTATAAATACCAGGTAATGATTAAGATTATTTAGAGGATGAACTGCCTACCAGGCTCGTTACTTGGATTGGTACTCGATCATCTGAATCCAGATGAATTGATCGCCCTTCATCGGACCACTAAATCATTACGGTATAATGTTGATGGATGTATTTATCGCCGAAGTTGTCTATCTAAAAACTGCCGACTCCTTCTTTACATCCCTTTAAGACGACGCATTTATGTGAGGGGTCTGCTGCCCGGTCGCATTAATATCCTCAGCATCAGCGGACAGTTTGACAAATTGGATCAGGTATTTCCTTGATTTAATGTGCTAAGCGACTACCTGGTTCTGGGCCGCACGGGGTCCCGACTATTCACGAGGGCGCGCACGAGGGACGGGGCACTCCACGGGACGGGTTGACCGGCTGCGCGCACAGCGAACCCTGAGACCCGCAACAGGCCTTAACAAAAGGGACAAAAAGTGACAAATTTTCGCGCTTTCAAAATGCGATAACTTTTTTTCTAGAAAAAACGGTCGAGGCGGCTTTTCGCATATGATAGAACAGACCCTAAGGCACCTTTTCCAAAAGAGCCCGGAGCAAATCTGAATCACAATAAGGAGTTCAAAACTTTTTTAACGAGCAGAAGACCGAAAATTCACCCCTTTGTGCGCAGCGCTTTTCTTTGAATATAGCCATTTTCTGGGATCCTTTTTCGTATATTTGCATCGCCTAAGACTTGCCAATGATCAATTGCTTGCTTTTTCGGGGTTGGGGGCTGTAATGGACGAGATTGAGGCCCATCCATTTTGAGCAATTTTGAATTCTGGAGTAGTACTGAACTATTTGGCTTGAATCTACTTTGTATGACTATCTGTCTATATATTCAGCTCTGTTTTATATCTATGTGACTTAAATGAGTACTCCAGCACCACTATTCACGATTTCCTTGTTTCTGACTCATGAACCATATAGTTTGTTATTTTTCGGCATTGGGTACACTATAGAAGGGTTGCTGGCACCTTGAACCACTTTTTGCAAACAAGAGCAAAACGATCTGACGGTACGGGGGGTCAGAGGTATCGAACCAGCACCCCCCTCCTGTGGCCTGTGACCGCCGCCTTAGACCACTCGGCCACGCCCCTCCCCACCCCCCGTGCGCGCTCTGAGACCCCGTGTGACATGTAGAGGTTATCAGGTCACAAGCTCCAAACCGGCTGAAAATTGGTGGAAAAATCGAATAAAATACGGGGAACACGATGCGATAAAAACTATCTGCTAATGGGCACTTTTGTTTAATAAAATTTTAATTTTAAGATTTTGTATGGAAAACCCACCCAGATTCGCAGCGAGCCTGGCCAGAACCGGGGCGCTGAGGCGCGAGCTCATGAAGCCTCGGAAGGGCCACGGCCCGTCGGCCCGGTGGTGTAGGGGTAGGCTGCGGGGAAGAATAGGCCAAAGGTCACGGGTTCGGTTCCCGCATTTTTTATTTTTTTTTGCTGCCGTTTTTGTTTTTATTTTGTAGGGAGCGCGTCTAGAATAGTTTTTATAATGTTTTTCGGGTGTTCCCAGTATTTTATTCGATTTTTCCACCAATTTTCAGCCGGTTTGGTGCTTGTGACCTGACAACCTCTACATGTGAGAATCTTTTGGTAAATATTACGTTATTTACCAAAAGTTGTTATAGTTTTCGTAGTGTTCGTTGATAGTGTTCGTTTTTAAAAAGAGAAAATTGCCTCGTTTTCAGACGTCATTTCCGAAAGTGCATATGGCGGTGATGAGTCGTGACGGAGAGGGTTTCTGTGCTGCTTATCATTGGAAACAGCTATATCATTTATATGAGAAAAGGTAGGATAAGGCAGTTGATACTTGCCCCCCGTCAGCGGATCTTCACAGAAACTTTCGGTCCGTTCGGTACAATAGTCTTAAAGTCATTGCAAAAATGCTGTTTTTCCAACTTATTCTCCACATTTTCCAGTCATCTTTTGGACTTTGCATGAATTAACATAATTTTCCGGCTCTAAATCCCTCGTTCCTCTAATCAACGGGGATGCCTTCTAAAATTACTTGACTAGCCCCAAGCTGAATTTTGGAAGTAAAAAATTACAGGATAAAAAAAGGGTGAGCGCTTCATTTTCATCATACATTCCGAGGCTCAATTCCGGCAAAGAACAGGTTAAGAACGTGTAATCAAGTTGATTTTTTTCCATAACTCAAAAACTGCCGTACCAATCATGCTGAAAGTTTCTGTGAACATTTTAAATTCCCTTCCGTACCTAATTCCTTCTCGAGCTCTTACACTTATCACAACACTTTTTTCAGTAAGCCGCACGGTGTGCTGATGGAACCGTTTCGCAGCCATTACTCTACGGGCCACGCCATTCATAGAAAACGGTATGGCTTTTGAATACCTATAGCACAAAGCTTTTTATTCATTTTATTCATTTACTAAAAATGGATTCAGAGAATACTTTCTGAAGAGCCATCGATATTTTGAGCAATTGGCTCGAATGCTCACTCGCACCGCCACTGTTCGAGTGCTCCAACTCAATATTGGACGCTACTCGGGATCGGTAAGCTGTTTTTCCATTGTCTTTTCTCTTTCTTTCTCTCTTTCTCTTCTCTCTCCCTCTCTCTCTCTCTCTATCTCGCTCTCTCTCCGCTTGACTCCAGTTTACCCCCCCCCCTCCCCTAATCTAGAGCCTTATCCTCTCTCTCTCTCTCTCTCTCTCTCTCTCTCTCTCTCTCTCTCTCTCTCTCTCTCTCTCTCTCTTTCTCTCACTTTCTCCGGAACTTCCAGGGCCAATTCAAACAACTCACATTGTCGTGCCATTAACTGACTTGTTTCAGCCGATCTGTTGGACACCATACTACCGGGATACTACGTGGCGATCAATGGTACGTCCACACCGCATGCCAGGAGACGAGATTTCGGGGGAGGCCCCTCCCCCCCGCCCCCACAACGTCCATCCTCCTTTAATCTGTCTCATTTGCAGGAGGCTGAGTTTAAAGAAAGGGACAACAGCCGAAACAACACCAAGGGAGTAGAGGTCAGTTTTTTAAAACATGGTTTTCGAGTCATGAACATGTCCTCTTTCCTTTCGACCCTGGTTTTTCAAATATCTACCTATCATATTATCTATTATCTTAATAATCAACTATAATAAAAAAAGTTGTGATGTCTGTCCGTCCGTCTGTCCGTGTGAAGCCGAATTCAACTCGAAGGGGAAAGGAGCTATGGCTTAGGTCTCTTCGGATTCGGATAGAGCGTGGTCAGAAACCCCCAAACTGATGAAAAAATTATGAAATAGTTTTTTGTTTAAATTATTAAATTTAATTTGGAAAATGGAGTTATTAAAACGAGTGGGGAAGGATCCTAACAAAGATGCGGCCGAGATTTTAATAAAAACTAAAGTCAATCGCGCCCCACGACATATCATACTCCCCTTAAGACCATTCCTTTATGGATATATCCACCGAGCACGCTTATGAAAATTATATACAAAGCGTCACACACACACAAACACAATAAACTTTTGAGCAATGGTAAAACGGGGTTGCGCACGGCGGGAGTCGAGCCCGCGACCTCCTGTTTTCCGTACAGGTGCTCTTCCGCTGACAAGGGAAGGGCAAGTGCACGAAGTGGAAATTCGAAAAACGCCCGCGGCTACCCCCTAGGATTTCGACTACGGCGATTCAGATGAGCTATTCAGATTTAGCCACCGAGGTCTGTAAAGCGAGATACCGCACTTCCGGTAAAGCATAATTTGCATGCGCGTAATTAGAAAGCTACTAAGGGTTTATTAGGATCTTCCACGTCTCTACCAGCAGCTGTGAATTGGTCGAATGCCAAGCCACTCGCTTTTTGAAATACCAACGGGGGTTCAGATCCACTCTCATTTTTGTAAGTTTGTGATTTTTGGGTTGGACCTCGGATCTTGAATAGAATTTTCTTTCAACCGTGAGGAAAACGGGGCGATAACCTGCAATACTAGGCTCCACACAGCAAAACAAAACAAAAATCAGGGCGGATCCGAACCCCCGTTGGTATTTCAAAAAGCGAGTGGCTTGGCACTCGACCAATTCACAGCTGATGGTAGAGACGTG